GATAGATATTGCTTTAATATTACCAGGAACTAATTTGCATTGCTTTGCAAGATGAGCTTCCATTTCTGATGGTTTGCCATGTTCCCATCTATCATGACAATATAAACATTCCGCACCATCATGTTCTCCCTTTTTTTTAATAGTTAAAAAATAATTCCAAACTGGGTGTTTAGGACGCCCAGCATTTTTATACTTTTCCTGCTTTTCTTGAATATTAGGGAGAATAACTGGGTCCTCGGTAATAACGCCATTAAGAACATGTTCAGCCATTATAGGAATTGGTTGTAAGGTAAATTTACGCTACATTTTGGTTTTTTTGTAAATATATCGAAGATGATTGAACATCTCCTAGTTCAGAAATTATTTGCATGATTAATTGCTTATAATCGAACTATGCTAACTGATCGGCCGGCAAATAGCATTTTAAGGTTAATCTTTATTTTAACATTTATCGACTTCTTTTTTGTATTATCACATGTAAGTAGCTTTTATTTGTTACAATCAGGAGTGAATCGTAAAGTTTAAAATTGCCGCAATTGATTTCCTATGTGTTACCTTATGATTACAAATCAAATTTATTTTTATTATCTCATTTTATTATATAAGTCACAACATTTTAACAGAACTTTCACCCTTTTTTTTTTTTTTTTTTTACAAAAAAAGCAAAACGAAACAAGGCAATGCATTCTTTTCTTACAAAATTATGCTAATTTACAAAATAACTTTTGCTGAAATTTTTGAATACGATCTTGACAAGGTGTTTAGTAGTGGTTTTTCATAAGATCAAAAAATTCGCGAAAAATTACTTGACCAATCATCATTTAATAAAATAATACTTTGATTTTAATTAGCATTCTGACGGCTCCAAAGCTTCTACTTTGATTATATATTTTGAAATCAACGATATTTATTTCAAACTTGTAAATCATTTTTTAAATGAAGGTTTCTGCGATAAAGATCACAAACAAAAAAAAATAAAATGAATTTTATTTGATGCTTGTGTTTTCCAAAATTAAAATGTTTTGATTTATATTAAAAATTATTATTATTTTATTTTTTTTCGTTAGTTTCTTTTTATTCACGTTTTTATCAATCAGAGGGAAGAACCAGATAGTCGTAATAAATTTAGAATGTCTTTTGATTTAACGGTGTTGCAAGAGATCAGCATTCACGAATGGCGTAGTAGCTGCGTGAAAATATTGAAAATATTGAAAATATCGATAATGTCATTTATATCAATTATATGCGTTAAAATTACATTTATTAAATTTCTTATAATTGTTATTTTTGATATATTCGTATGTAATTTCTTTATTGATAAATAAATTAATTTTAATGTATATAAATAAATAATTAAATAGTGTAATATTACACTTATTTACAAACCGGTTATAAGAAATTTAAACGAATATCTGGAAATGATAAATGCTCTTCTGTACAAGTTGTTAGGTATTTGAAATAAATTTGAAATTTGGGTGAAGGTTCAAATTAATTTGCGGAATTATAGTTTGGTAAATCGAACCTCAAATTGATTTTGAGATTAGAGTTTGTAC